ATAGTGGCAGAGAACTTACCATGTTATGGCACTGCAATAAATCACTACCTTCAATCTTTATGCCTCTGAGTCACATCTAGAAAATGTTTCCAGCAGCACCACCGCAAGTGTATCGGAAAGGTCAGAGATACATTCTTTGCCTGCGCCAGCTGATGATTTAAAAATGTCCTCTCTCCCTTGGTTACTAATTCCATAATGCTATAAATTGTAAACTTAGAATGATTCAGATAATTTTCACATCTTGAGCATAAAATGAAAATTAACTGAAATGTCACTTTGTAAAGACTGCTCACCAAAGTACCTAAAGTGAAGGTTTTTCACATCTATACAAAAACAAACTTTACTCTCAGGTAAACACCCAATGTCAACTCACAGTGCTCCCTTTAATAATAGTTTTAATGACTCAACAAAATCATTGATGTGAAGCCACAACAGCTCGATTAGAGCTGATAAAAGTCGATCATGTGGAGACTCCTAATGCTTGTGGCTGCCAACCTCTGAATGCTTGATTCCATGAAATGCTGAAGGCAGGTTGAATTTCTCCACTTGTTAAAATCCCAGGTGAGTCCGCCCAATTAATGCTACCGTCTGATTAAGAACCATTACTATTTTTTAAGGGAGACTAAGTTTAAAATCCCAGGGACTCAGTAATGCCACAAATTCCAGTTTTGATCAAATTAAACTCTACTGTACAAGGTTAGAAAAGTAATACTATTTACAACGTAGAAACAACTTACACTCTAACATTCAGAATTATGCAACTAATAACTTATGTGCTCTTGGACATCTGTTAACTGTAACTGTGCAGGCAGCTACATGGAGCCTGTTCCTTTGCCTTGAATTTCTCGCTGACTAAAATTAATTGACCCTTGAAATACTGTTCACTGACCTTTGAATTGATCTGTGTGACATATCAAAATTTGCCAAAAGAGTCCCACCTTTGTAATTACGCAGGAAAAAATGTCATATCTTGGAACACTCTGTACCTTGCAATTTTGCAATCTTTACAGCTAATTACCTTCTCACATCTACCAACTTCAGAACACAGAGACACAAAGCAACACAAAAAAACCTGATTTTATGACAAAGTTCTGTGGGCCTGGATAACTCAGATAACTTGAAGAATGACATGCGAATGGAAGCAAGTTGCTTATTGTAGCTTAATATGAGCCCAGATCCTGGTGTGCCCACAGATGTAATATTTATACATATTAGTGAGCTGTAATAAATGTTTGTTGGATGTAACATTATCCACACAAAGTTTCTCATGTAAGAGCCCAGACACTGATGTGCCTGTGGATGTAATACTTATACACATTAGTGAGCTGTAATAAATGTTTGTTGGATGTAACATTATCCTCACATAGTTTCTAATGTCATCAGGCAAGACATAAGCATTGCTGCATCAGGTAAAATATCTTGCTGGCGTTGCTAGCATTCATTTCAAGATGGCTAGAATACAAGAGCAGAGATGTACTGCTGAGGCTGGAAAAGGATCTGGTCAGATTGCATTTGGAATATTGTCAGCAGTTTTGGGCCCCTTATCTAAGGAAAGATGTGCTGGCATTGGAAAACATCCAGAGGAGGTTTACAAGAATAATCATGGGGATGAAGAGCTTGTCTTTTGAGGAGAGGCTGAAGATTCTGGGTCTGTACTCAATGGAGTTTAGAAGAAATATGGTGGGGGAGGTGAAATCTCATTGAAACTTTCCGAATACTGCCAGGCCTAGATAGAGTGGACTTGGAGAGGACCTATACCTATCCTATTACCAAGACCACCTAATTTTAAGTCCATAACATCTTAGCAGAAGAGACTAGGACTCAAAGGGCACAGCCTCAGAATGAAGGCATGACACTTTAGAACTGAGATGAGGAGGAATTTCTTCAGCCAGAGGATGGTGATTCTGTGGAACTCAATGCCACAGAGTGCTGTGGAGGCCAAGTCATTGACTGTATTTAAGTCAGAGATTGATTGATTCTTGATTAGTATCAAGGGTTATGGGGACAAGGCAGGAGACTGGGTTGAAAACCATATCATCCATGATCAAATGGCGGAGCAGACTTGATGGGCTGCAAGGCCTAATTCTGCTCCTTTATCTCGTGGCCTCATGGCTGCCCTTGCCATCTTAGTGCACCTGGTAAGCTCCTCACCGAAAGTGCAGTCCATGAACTCGGAGACAGTAAGGACTGCAGATGCTGGAAGCCAGAGTCAATAGATGTGAAGCTGAAAAAGCGCAGCAGGTCAGACAGTATCCAAGGAGCAGGAAAGCCTGATGAAGAGTTTTGGCCCAAAACATTGACTGTCCTGCTCCCCGGATGCTCTCAGACCTACTGTGATTTTCCAGCTCCACATCAATTGATGCAGCCCATGAACCCCCATTTAAATCTCAACATTCCCTCTGTGAACTCTCAATGAACTCATTAACATGTTGAATTTGGCTCATTAACAGGCCTAATTCGCCCCATTGCCAGTGGAAATGGTAGCAGGAAACTGGCATGCCAGAGTGTACTGCAATTTTCATCATCAAGGTTCCTTCGTTCCTGCCCCAGCAGGGCCTAAATACCCGGCCCCTGGTGTGAGTCACTAAACAGGCAGCAGGATTGTGGATGAGCCCAAGTTTGTAAAGGGTGGGAGTTGGGAGGCTGGCCAGGAGAACATGTAGATCAGCAAATCTAAAGGCTACAAATGTGAGGATGAAGGGTTCTGCAGCAGATGAGCTGAATCAGTGTTGGAAACAGTTGATGTTATGGACTTAAAATTAGGTGGTCTTGGTAATAGGATAGGTATATTGTCAGAATTCATCGCAGGGTCATTTCTTTTTTAATTCATCCTATTCAGATGTTATGACATACCTGTGGAGCACGTGGGACCTCAACCCAGGCCCCCTGGTCTTATAGGTAGGAACACTACCACTGCATCGCAAGACCCCTTCCATTTACAGGTCAAATAGGATGCCAACATCATGAAATATCTGATTCAGTGTCAGACAGTAAGCAGTTAGAGGAGTAGAACCAGTTGTTAATTGCATATTCTTGGTGTCTAAGTGTAAGCAGGTTGTAATTTTTTAGGGATAGTAGGAACTGCAGATGCTGGAAAATCTGAGATAACAAGGTGCAGAGCTGGATGAAGCATCCTTAGAAGAGGCTTCACAGTGGGGTTAAACTTGTATCAGAGATAGCATCCTTAGAAGAGGCTTCGCACTTTTCTGATGAAGGGTCTAGGCCCGAAACGTCAGCCTTTCTGCTCCTACGATGCTGCTTGGCCTGCTGTGTTCATTCAGCTCTACACCTTGTTATCTCAGTAACTTTTTAGGATCCACTTGTTCCCTTATAAGTAAATGTTGATTTAATCTCCAATTTTGAAAAAGGATCACTGGACTTGAAACATTAACTCTGTTTTTTCTCCTCATATGCTGCCAGACTGCTGAGCTTCTCCAGCAATTTCTGCTTTTGTTTCTAATCTCTTGGATTGTTAGGTTTGGAGTTGCTTGCATGTAATTTGTGTATGTATAAATACATGCTTATAAAAGTGTGAAAAGATCCAAAGATCATAAGAAATAAGAGTTGCACTAGGCCACTTGGTCCTTTAAGCTTGCTTTGCCATTCAGTAATATCATGATTGATTTGACTGTGGCTTTAACTACATTCCTGCCTGAACACCAGCCCCAGCAACACTTAACTCCCTAAACAAAAAATGTCTAACTCAGTCTTGAATATATTCAATGACACAACCTCCATTGTTTTTTCTAGGAGGTTATTCAAAAGACTAATGACCCACTGAATGAGGTAATTTCTCTCTGCATTCCCATCTTTAAGGTGAGACCTCTTGTTTTTAAATTGTGCCCGCTGAGTTCTAGATTTTCTACAAAGAGAAACACACCTACATTCTTTTTGATAAATATCAGATCATCTTTCATTCTTCTGAACTCTAATGGATGAAGGCCCAATCTACTCAACCTTTCCTCATAGAACAACCCTTCAGCCCAGCAATCAGCCTAGTGAACCTATTCTTAACTGATTCCAATGCAAAAACACCTCTCCCTAGATAGGGAGACTAAAACTGCCCAATGTATTTTCGACACAATCTCATCAATGTCCTATTTCAGACTGAGCTTGGACGCACTTAGGACATGTTTGACCTGTGGCCTGGGATGAAGGCAGCAGAGGCAACTGAATGGATGATTGTTAAATAGATATTTTGCAAAGGATTTTGTCAATAGTTACATGAAAATCTAAATTTCAGGACAGCAATAGAAAGTAGTCTGGCTGTAATATCCTCAGAAAAGAAACATTTTGTTAACTTTTTACTGTGTAAAATTAGTAGTATCCATAGCAAGATTTGGCTTCTGAACAATTCCTATTATTTTAAGCTGAATGACTTAACAGTTCTTTTATCGAATGTAATGTCATTGTGAAGTTGCAGTATTTTCTAGTGCCCATGAAATAAGGCGGAAGTCTCTGCCATATGGAGTTATGCTTATAAGTTGAAAGTCACAGAATTTGTTAAGTTTGCGTCAAGAGAGTTGTACTATGCATTCAACCTGTCTTATTCTTGACCTGGGTGTGCCATGAGTAATGCCACTTATTTTTAATCAGGGCAACACCTATTAGATAATGTTTTGAATGATATCCAATACTCACAATCTTGGTTCAGCCTTCTTTTTACACAATATTTAGAGTGTTTATGTAAGTTTACTGTGGGAAATTGCATTGAAACATTGTCAACTTTTTTTTTTCTGAAAAGATTCATTGTCTTTTCAATAGTCTTTCTCTAGATCATAATTTGACCCAATTGCAAGGTAACTACTTTTTCACAGTAATATATGCAAGTGCTAAGTTCCACAATAGTAACCTCTAGTATTGGGTGCAAATTTCACAATATTTGCAATTACTGTGTAAAACCAATGATAAAAAGATACTCAGATTACGGGTAAAATGCTGATTGACTTGTGAAAACATAGTAGAATGAAAAAATCTCAGTTTAAGGATTGGAGTATCTGCTGTGGATTGGCTATCAAACTTTGCTTAATGTTGGAGGTGTGGCTCTTAAAAGGCAGATTCAAGTCAATTCCCCTCACTTTGGACTCCAGATCTACAATTGGTTTGACAGCTGACATCATTTCCACAATTGCAGAAAATGTTCTCAATTACAATAAACCTAATTCAGCTATTTCAGCTAATAGTTCTTATTTTTTTAGCATCAATTCTGATTAAGATATTGAAACTATTTTGCAAGAGATGGAAGTTGATAGCAGCAATGAAACCTTTTCCTGGACCCCCAGCACACTGGCTATATGGACATGCACTTGAGGTATGTATGAAATCAACAAATGATTCAAATGATGTTGCCTTATTCTTTGAGAATGCTCTCAACAATAGCCAATACTTTCAGCTATAGTGATTTTGTTATTCATCAGTATTTATTATTGCTTCAAAACACTGTTTAATCGTATGTATGAGAAAATGACAGAACATTTCTCTCTGTTCTACCATGATGTGTCACAGTGACTGCTCATTTCAGTTAGTAGCACTCTTGCCTCCAGGCAATAAGTTTTGAGTTTCAGCCTTTTAACAAGATTTGAGGTTGATACTCCAGTACAATGCTGAAGCAGCACTGTATTGTCAGAGAGCACCTCTTACAGATGAATCATTTTACTCAGTTTTATGAATTCTTACCTTTAGTGGGGATCCTTGATCATTGGAAACATGGTAGGAAATTTTGACAAGAACCCTCTGGAAAATTTCTTTTCCAATCTTTATGGCTAAAGATCTATGGCACTATTTGAAGAAAACCATTGAGGTGTCCCACTGCTTGTCGTCATTCCCCCCTCAACCAATGCTGCCAACAAAGCAGATTAGTTGGTTATTCAATTAATTTCTGTTTATTGCAGACTGCTGCTGTAATAGTCATTTTAATTCAAAAATGAGTCATTGTGTGAAGCAGATACTGTTTTCTTCAAATGTTATTGAAGCACTTTTACAATTTATTAAATTATGTAGCTTGCCTTCTGTTTTACATTGTTCTAGGCTCCACCTCCATTGAACTATCTCTCCTTGTTCTTTGAAGCAGTGGGTGCAAACTTATCACCTTTGAAAGTGTTCTTCCATCTGGGACAGATGCAGGTTCACTCCCAAATGCTCGGTGGGTCCCACCCAATTGCAAAGACTTCCCAGAGGTAGTCTTTTAACAAGTGGGTTCCTGTGGTGTTTGGCTCCATCAGAGGACTGTGGCAAAAGGCTGGCAGCCCAAACAGGATAGGCAGTCAAGCTGAGGGAACAAGGGAGAGCATGGGAGTGTCTTTAATGTGTGGGTGTTATCAGCTGCACAACAAAATTAAGACATAGGTGGGCTGAAGCTGATAACCCCCAACAACCCCCCAAACCCGTAGCAGAAGTGCAACCCTCTGCCGGATCTTTTTGGGCACAGATGCAGCTTTTTCTGTCAGTTGGATAAGCACTTCCCAGAAATGTGACATCAACCTTTCCTATTTCCCTCTCAATTCAAACCCACCTCCAAAGATCTCATAAGATTCTAACTATTGTTTCCCGTCACTGAGATCTCTGCCTCTTTGGATTCTGTTTCTTTTGTTCATTCACAGAATGGGGGTGTTGCTGGCTGGACCAGTATTTATTATCCATCGCGAGTTACTCTTGAGAAGATGGTAGTTGCTTTCTTTGGTGTAGTTAAATCCACAAGAGAGGGAGTTTCAAAACTTGTGACCCTGAAGGTATAGCAATGTATTTCCAAGTCAGGATGGTGAGTGGCATGGAGGGGAATTTACAGGTAATGGTGTTCCCATGTAACGACTGCCCTTGTCCTCCAGATGGTAGTGGTTGTGGCTTTGGAAAGTGCTGTCTAAGGAGCCTTGGTGAATTATTTGAGAATCCTAACATTGCATCCTGTAGAGTGACAGGGATTGCTGAAAGAACTTCTGGATTTCAGCGTAATAACTGTGTAAATGCCCACGCTAGAAGTTATTGTAATTTCAGAGTAACAACAGCAAAGACTGATGGTTTCATTGCCCCATATTTTGCAGCTATCATAACAAAGAACAAGTTACAGTGACTTTCTGACACTTCTAACAGGTGTAACACCAAAATATACAGGCAAGAAAAATCCAGGAGCAAATTCACTCTGTGTTAAAGTAGCCAATCACAAACAGGACAGGTTGTATTCTCCACTGCAATGTTTCTAACAATCAAAGTCCAGTTGCCAATCAACCAATCTCCTCTCATGTGGTATAATTGTGGGTTTTCTCCTTGAATGTGCATTCTTGCAAAATGCCCTGATGAGTACAAGATGAAAAGCTTCAACAAGATGGGCCTTTTCTCAGCAATCCACAAACAGGACTGCTGTATGGAAACTTCTTTGGCCTAGGTGATCCTTGGCAAAGGAAAATTAAATCATCCAGATTGTTCATCATTATCTAGCAATGCATGCTGGAAAATGTAAGAGCCTGAACTGGATCATGTTTGTCAACAGTTCTATAGTCTAGGTGAAAAGTATTCACTTGGGTAACAAAGTGTTGGAATTGTTAACGTTAACCCTTAGTATGAATCAACACTTTCAGGAGAGGAAAGAAAAATACTAACATAAGGACCACAGATCTGCCCCGTCCACACTTTGCTTTAAGAATGGTGTTTTTGCTCATTTTCAGTAGTCAAGATAGTATTGTTCTAGTGAACCTTTCTGCTTTGAGCCATTTGTTTCCTATTTAGAATCCTGAATATGCCAAGATTGATGTTGGTTCCAGAGGTAAAATCTTCCAAGATTTGTTTTGCTTTTGCTGTTCCACCTTGTTGGATTTCATTACAGTTTTCTCAAGATGGGACAGATCTAGACAAGACTGTGACATGGGCAAAGAAATATCCATATGGGCACCAAGTGTGGTTTGGTCCATTTACAGCATACTTAGCTGTATACCACCCTGACTATGCTAAGGCATTGCTTGCATCCTCAGGTAGGAAATACAGATTCTTTTTCAGTATAAATGCACTTTAAATCTTAATCTGAATTGTTAAAGAAGATTATCACTTTATCCAGCGGGAAATATGTCATATTTTGCAAATGAATCAAGATTATTTTGGTGGTTCAACCATGCTTTATTAACAAACCTAACAACATCTTAAAAGCATCAGAGATAGTAGGAACTGCAGATGCTGGAGAATCCAAGACAACAAGGTGCAGAGCTGGATGAACACAGCCGGCCAAGCAGCATCATAGGAGCAGGAAGGCTGACGTTTCGGGCCTAGAACCTTCTTCAGAAATGGGGGAGGGGAAGGGGATTCTGAAATAAATAGGGAGAGAGTGGGAGGCGGATAGAAGATGGATAGAGGAGAGGATAGGTGGAGAGGAAACAAACAGGTCGAAGAGGCGGGGATGGGGCCAGTAAAGGTGAGTGTAGGTGGGGAGTTAGGGAGGGGATAGGTCAGTCCAGGGAGGACGGACAGGTCAAGGGGGCGGGATGAGGTTAGTCGGTAGGAGATGGAGGGGCGGCTTGAGGTGGGAGGAGGGGATAGGTGGGAGGAAGAACAGGTTAGGGAGGCAGGGACGAGCTGGACTGGTTTTGGGATGCGGTAGGGGGAGGGGAGATTTTGAAGCTTGTGAAATCCACATTGATAACATTGGGCTGCAGGGTTCCCAAGCGGAATATGAGTTGCTGTTCCTGCAACCTTTGGGTGGCATCGTTGTGGCACTGCAGGAGGCCCAGGATGGACATGTCGTCTGAGGAATGGGAGGGGGAGTTGAAATGGTTCGCGACTGGGAGGTACAGTTGTTTATTGCGAACTGAGCGTAGGTGTTCTGCAAAGCGGTCCCCGAGCCTCCGCTTGGTTTCCCCGATGTAGAGGAAGCCTACACTCACCTTTACTGGCCCCATCCCCGCCTCTTCGACCTGTTTGTTTCCTCTCCACCTATCCTCTCCTCTATCCATCTTCTATCTGCCTCCCACTCCCTCCCTATTTATTTCAGAACCCCCTTCCCCTCCTCCTTTTCTGATGAAGGGTCTAGGCCCGAAACGTCAGCCTCTCTGCTCCTATGATGCTGCTTGGCCTGCTGTGTTCATCCAGCCCTGCACCTTGTCGTCTCAACATCTTAAAAGCAATTTGGTTTTTGAATGTGTGGAATCTTTATAAATTCCTATTCTGGAAGTTTTGAACATATGTGATACTTTTTTAGCATTATGATTTTTAATGATATTTAAGTAGAAAACATTGTTTTAAGTGTTGTACAAATAACAGTGTATACCGCCAATGTAAAATTCATGAAGCAATGACTATAGTTTTGATAGAAGGGTGTACCAATGTTTACAATGGAATGAGAAAGGGTATAGACTAGGAGTGAGAGAAGGATTACAGATCGGACAATAAGCATTTTGTTATAGCGTGTTCAAAAGAGCGAAAACTGCTGGAGCAAGTCTCCAAAAGTGAGGTCAATTCATGTCCAGAACATTTAAGTATAGAGCATGTATTTAGCAAACGAAAAATAAATTGATTTTCCTGGGGCAATCTTAACAGTGAAATTCTGGCTTTGAATTAGATTTTAGTGTTCCTACCACTCAAGGACAAACTCTCAATTGGTCAATAGGCATGACCTACCATTCCACAATTAATTTTTAGTCTCCAAGTTTCTTTACACTCCCTTCAATTATTTCCAAAACCCTGACAGACATTCACTTTCCACTTTCTCTCTCTCATAAATACGTTTTTCATCTTTGATTATGTATCATATATAACATATATAGTATCGTATAGAGTAGAAGAAAACTGTTTTGCATGGTGTGCTTATTGATTCTTTGAAAAATATATAAGTATATATTTTCTTCTTTGAAATTTCCTTTTGTTTTCCTTCCAAGTATTAACTTCTTGATCCTTTCATTTCAACAGTTTTCCTTTGTTAATTTCCTACCCACTCATCTTTCTGTTGCTATCATCTCAACCTATTTCATCATTTGTATCTTCTGCTTTTTGTTTGCCTGCCTGGCCCAATCACCTTATTCCACTTTAACTTAAAGACAAAATACAAAAATGTACTAAATATTAAGTAGCTGGGGATATTCACTTCAAGGGACTAGTTCTTAATAACAATTTCCTAAATTCTGAAAAGGTACTACAAGAACATTTCCCTTGTTATTTATGAATTGCTAATGCCTGTCTCCAAGTGCTGAGGAAATGTTGGATTTTAATAATATGTAAAAGGGTCCATTAAGCTAATGAATTAATGGACACTGAAGAGCTTTCATTGTGGAGAAATCTCATGTTACACACTTTGAATTAGAATACATGAAACCTAAATGGGATAAAAGGGTATCATTAACAAATATGGTGAATCATCCTGGCTAATTATTTGCTATTCGGTGAAAACATCCACTCAATCTGAAGCTGGTATTAACAGGTTAGCCATATATACCACTCTAGGTCCTGACTTAACACCCCCTTCCCCTGCTCCACACCCAACCTCCCCTCGTTACCCCAGGGTCACTTCTGACCCATCAACCTTCTTTTTCACTTACGCACCCAACACTCCATTCCCTCACTGTTGGACACAGTGGTCCTTGCCCCCATCAGTGTCAACAGTCCTTCATCTGCCATCAGGTTGGACCCCTCTTCCCCTTTCACTGGACATACTCCCCCTTCTCTCACTCTGCACCTGACTTCCCTCTTCACACTCACCCCTTCCCGCCAACCACTGCCGTACCCAATCCCACTCTATGCCAGATCAGATTTCATCCACACGCTCTGACCTACTCTAAACACTGCATCACTTACTTGTCCCCTTGCTGCATTGCATCCTGGCAGCCTACCAACTGGCATCCTACTCCCTTCCAATGTGGCATCCTACCAATTGGCATGGTATCCCCTGGCACCCTAATCCCTACTAAACTAACAACCTACCCATCTGGCACTCTACCTGTAGTGATTGTAACGAGGTCAGCCAGGTGGACCTCATAGAATATGAGTTCCCTGATTGGGGCTGTTAACCTGGTCCAATCAGGGAGCCCTGGCTGACAGCTATAAACAGGAGTGTCAGAGGTTCTGTTCACCCTGCAAGCTGGCTCTGGGGATGCTGGGTCAGTATCAAGGAGTCTCCATGTGTAAATAAAGGGTGACACATTTACCCTAACGTCACATTTACATTTGGCAGTTAGTGTTTGACAGCAGCTTTCAAAGTGGCTCTTTGGGCCTTTAAATGTCAGAACATGGCAGATGACTCTGTGAAAAGGGAGTGTGGTTTGCCTTCTCCCAACAGTACTGCGCTATGATAGAACATCAGAATGGAAGTATGGCCCTGTATTTCTGAAGAATCCCTGAGAAGAATCTCCTCTCAGAAACAGGGAGCTCCATCCTTCTAAAAAAAAAAGAAGCTAGATTGCCATTGCTCGGAAAATCTGGCTCTTGATTTTTCCCCTGTTGGTGAGTCTAAAACCAGGGACACAATCTCGGGATAAAGGGTAGGCCGTTTAAGCCTGAGATTAGTAGGAATTTCTGCACTCAGAAGTTGAAGTATCTTTGGAATTCCCTACCCCAGAAAGTTGTGGAAGCTCATTAATTGAACAGGTTCAAGACAGAAATCAACAGATCTTTGGAGACTAATTACATCAAGGAAATTATGGATGGCACACCAAAATTGCAATGAGATAGATGATCAGCCATGATCTACATAAATACTAGAACATGCTCTTCGGGCTAACTGAACTAGTCTAATATTCTCAGATGTTTGGGTTTTAATAAACCAAGAAACTCATGTAACTGAAATTAATTTCAATGGAGAAATTTTGATGGAAAATAGCTCTACTTTATAAAATGCAGAGAGGAATGTGTCAAAATAAACAAGATGGACTTGATTGCAAAACTTTGTGCTATATGTTATATGCATACATTAGTGTTTTTGTATATTTTACAGAACCAAAAGATGATGTGGTGTACCGGTTTATGCTTCCTTGGATCGGTATGCATTATAACTCTATTCCGGCCTCATTGCAGTGTGTGGAGCATTCTCTTAAACTTTGGTCACAGTTATAGCAGCTACATTGAGTGGTTTTTATGCATTAAATTATACAGAAAGAACAATGTGTTTCTGAATAGATAACATTGCTTGCATATTGTGAGAAATATTTTTCTGCCATTCCATACTTTTGTGCTTTTGTTTGATTTCAGGACCACTTACACCATATTATTTAATTGCCTCATTGTATTACACCCTAATTTTCACTGAGTAGAAATCAAATAGACAACAGCTAAGGAAAGTGCGAACAGACTCTTGATCTCAGCAGTATGGGAGACTTTTGTTGTCCGACCTAGCACGTTATCTGCACAAATCCTGCAGGGAGGAGCAGCAGCAGTAGCAGTGGGCAAAAGCAAAATTTCATTTAGCAGGAGATCACTAATGGAACTGAAGGAAGATTCTTAGTTCCCAAGTAAATGGACCTCTCAATCAGAAATGGGAGAACCTAGTCCAGGGTATGTCTAAAGTTCCCTCGTGAAAACAAAAGAGCACTTCTGCTCTCCATGGCCCCACAAACAAAGTTGGAAGTTGACGCTTAAAAGAATGGTCTCTTCTGGCTGTTCTTCTGACTAGCTTCAGCCGAAGGGAAATTTTGACTACTTCCTCTCTTAAGGCAGCATTTTAGGCTGTCAGTCAAGCCTCAGTCTGCATATTTATTAAAGACCTCACTGGTTTGAGGCAGCTGTTATTGCTGCCTGCTCAGAATAATATATTAAAATAGAAGATACTTATAATAGAGCAGGTCACTAGTCAGTAAATTTCTTGATTGGTTTTAATTGCTTGCTCGAATAGTTTTCATTGCATGTGTAGGATTAAATCCTACTATATATTATAGCACTGTAATTAATACGGAACATTTTTGGCTTTCAGTTGAAAATTGACCACTAAGTCTTTTTCATTTACCAGACAGCGAAACCTATTCCCTTACAATTGTTTTCACCTATATCCAGGCAGTGCAAAGATACAATGCAGGCTATGTTGCTACCTAATGTCAAGGTTAACAACATCTCTTCTGGTCTGGAGAGGAATTTAGAGTGGGAGTGAAGGGTACAATTATTGAGGTCCACATGGGTTCCCACAACAGAGTGGTTTTGCTGAGGGATTAAAAACAGCTCCTGACTAATTAGAAAGCAGAATCACAAAGGTAATTACCTCAGGATTGCTATCTGAGCCACATGCAAATTGGCATAACGTAAATAAGATTAGAGAGGTAAATGTGTGACTCAAAGACTGGCACAGGAGAGATGGATTCAGATTTCTGGATCAGCGGCACAAGTACTCAGGAGAAAAGAGAGCTGTTCTTTTGGGATGGACTTCAATTATATCATGCTGAGAACAGCATCCAGGCAAATTGAGTAACTAGAGTTGTAGATAGGGCTTTCATCTAATTAGTTTAAAGAGGCGAGTTTATTTAAAGGGAATTTTTTTAAAAAACGAATGTAAAGAGCAGAGGTGCAAGGTAAGGAAGAGATGAGTGATAATCAGATGTGAAGGGGTAGAAAATATACACAGAAGAGTGCAGCAGTAATTAGAACCAGAGTAAAGAATAATTGTAAAACTTCAAAGCTTGAGGTTCTTTAGATAAATGCACATAGCATTTGCAACAAGATAGATGAGTTAACAGCATAAATAGAAATAAATGAAGATGACTTGATAGCTACAATAGGATTGCACAATAACCAAGACTAGGAATTCAATATTCAAGGATAGCCATATTCTGGAAAAATAGGCAAAAAGGAAAAGAGGTTGGATAGCTTTATTAATAAAGGAAGGTATCAGTACAGAGGTCATGCATTTTGATAGAAAGAATCAAAGGGCAGATTATTATTTAAATGGAGCGAAATCCAAAAAGGTGAAGGCAGAGGGATCTGGGTGTTCTTGTGCATGGAACACAAAAGGTTAGCATGCAGGTGCAGCAAGTCATTAAATTGTCCAATGGAATTTTTGCCTTTCGCTAGGGGTTTGGATTTTAAAAATTGAAAAGTCCTGTTACAACTGTACGGGGTATTGTTAAGTTCACACCTGGAATACTGTGCACTGTTTTGTCCCCATACTTAAGAGAGGATATTCTGGCATTGGAGGAGGTTCAACAGAGATTAACTAGGCTGATTTCTGGAATGAAGGGGCTGACTTATCAAGAGCAGCTAAACAGGTTAGGCCTTTATTCACTACAGAATAGAGTGAAGGGTGATCTTCTTGAAACATAAAAGATTCTGAGAGGTCTTGATAGGGTAAATGTTGAGAAGATGTTTCCACGAGTGGGGGAATCTCAAACTAGGTGACAAAGTAAGGTTAAAACTTTAAAACTGAGATGTGAATTAATTTCTTCTAGTGAATGTCTAGAATTTTGTATCCAGAGAGTTGGATCTCTGATAATATTTAAAGAGGAAATCGATGTTTTAAACATCGAGGAGTTGAGGGCTAAGATGAGCTGGCATGAAGGAAGAATTAAGGCCCGGGACACATCAGCTATGATCTTCTTGAATGGCAATGCAGGCTTGAAGGGCTGAATGGTCTACTTTGTTCCTGTTTCTTATTTTCTTATGTTTGAATAAAATGCTATCACAGCCGTGCACCATTGTCTATTGACAACACTCATTCAGATGTGCTATCTAGAAAGTGAACTGGATAGCAATCAGGAGCAGGAATCCTGATTTTAATTCTATCTGCCTCAAGGATTCGATCCCATTAAATAATCCTACTGCCATCCCAGCTGAGTTCAGATAAATTAAACAATCAAATCATAGTCTTCCTAATTTCTATGGCTTATTTCTATGCTTTTCAATGCACTTACCAAATAAGTATTCAAAACATTTTTATGATTGCTTTTTTTCTGTATTAGCCATTCAATTATTTACAAAATGAGAACAAAAGTTTAATTATTTCAGTAGCAATACAGCAAGGCCCATTCTTTCTTGTTTAGTCCTATTCTATGAATTTCAGGTGATGGTTTACTAATAAACAGTGGCCAGAAGTGGCATCGTCATCGACGACTCTTGACACCTGGATTCCATTATGATATATTGAAGTCATACGTGCAGGAGATTGCAGAGTCCACCAAGATCATGCTGGTATGTTTTTTTAAAAATGTGTTTGCTGATGATGACACTAGGTCTCTTCATTTTATTTGTCCGTAAAGTTCTAATCTGAAATGAGTTTGAGCTATATCTTGATAGCTCTACATCTCGGCATAAAAATGGGCTAGGAGGTGAATTTCTTTGTGGTTTTCTCATTTATTCCTATATTTGGCAGAAGTCCAGTTTATGTGACAAAGTTACAGTCACATAGATAGAGAAATCCTGATTGCACTTGTGACTTGAAAGTAAGGGCCAAATTTTCATTTCAGTGATGGGGACGTGCAGTCAGGAAGATTCCAAACTCCAAAATCAACTCGGGAGAAACTGCCCTGGATATTTAGATTTTCATTCTGTGCTAGGTGGGGGTTGTAGGGTACAGGTCTTAACAGGACATTCGCCCTCCAACCTGGTAATAATATGGAGGTGGCAACAGGAACTGCCAAGGGCAGAGAGGGACTATTTAGAAGGCCTTTCTTGGTGCTCCAGAACTTCATCCCAACTGTTTTAAAAGAAGCCAAAATAATCCCTCTGACTTCACACACACACGTGCACACACACACACACAATCTCCGTGGCAACGTGCCACATCTTGACCCCCATATGGTCCTTCCACCTTCCATGCCATGTATGCCCTTCGACTGACCTCCCATGGCCCTTCATAGACTGCATACCAAATTAATGCCAAATCTTGACCACCACTCATCCTCAAGGCTCCTTATAACCCTTCTGTCAACTTAGTGCATTTCATTCCAGTCTATACCCACAACCCTTTTTCCCCCACATCTTCTATGCCAACTCAGTCTGTATCAACTTCAGCAATTATGTAGAGCTGAAATAAAATAAATTATAGATGCTTATTGATGACCAATAATTTTTAAAAAGTTCATTCATAAGAACACCATTCAATACACTTAAAGTCTTTCAAGTTCTTAATCTCTTATAAAAATTTCCTTCAAGTACCTAATCCCTCATGAAAACAAACATTTGTATTATTATTCCTGTATCAAACATTTGAAGCTGTTAGTCAAACAGCAAACTTACACTTCTTTTCTTCCTCCCAACCCCATGGTGGTGGTGGTGAGTTGTGGAATTGGATATGCAACATGAGGATCATGGGGTTGCTCTCTCATTAGAGAGAGAGAGAGAGAGAGGCAACTGGTGGTGATTTAACCTGATGATCCCCATGCCTCAGGTGGATGGAGAGCTTGAGAAGGAGACTCTTTCATGGTAACCTCAACCAGTGTGGGAATTTAACCAGTGCTGTTGTCATCACTCTGCATCACAAACCAGTAATCCAGCCAACTGAGCTAACTGAACAGCTCATTTAACACAAATCCTATCAATGATAACGCTCAAGCATTATGCAAATTTCGAACAATAATCTTTTTGAACTCACTTTTTTTTTGCAAAAATGTAGAGAACTTGGAGATTTAAATACCATGACAGTTCCCCTGAGTTTAATCTACTTTAAAACACATTCATATCTACTTCTATACAATCCTAAACGGCATCTGACCTCTCACAAAACTTATAAACTCTCCCAAACAACATCCTTTCTCCCTCAAAGGGACATTTGGTCTCTTCCAAAGGTGGACCTGAAGTCATGTTTTCAATATCTCGCTGATGGAATTTGGCCTGTTTGAAAGCAGCTGGGCATTTACATTAACAGGTGCCTCTGAACCATGGATGTACAAACTATATCACTGGCCAAAATGATTGGTCCTAGATTCGGAGGTGGAATTTATGGAATTTTTTTCAGTTAAATTTCCCTCTATTTTTTCCTGGTGCCAGTTCAGGACTCTGGAGTAATATAAGTGGCATATTGAGCAGAGACCACACTGTAATTTTTTCGCTGTTTTAACTATTAAAGTATGCATTTATTATTTTACAATTACAGGCATTCTACTTGTTAAAAATGGTTTGCTTGGTTCAGAAGTCAGGAAACCTGTTTAGTGGTGACGCTATGTACACCACATAAAAACACGTGATCAAAAACTGACACTAGTAATTTATTGACAAAAACAAAGTTGCTGGAAAAGCTCAGCAGGTCTGGCAGCATCGGTGAAGGAGAAAACAGTTAACGTTTTCGGTCCGGGGACCCTTCCTCAGAACTAGTAATTTATTTGCGCTTTTGTGGGCAGCTTTTCATGCCCCAGTCTTTATTTACTGCCCAATAATGTTGTGCTGCATCCAGGGTGATATTTTGTTCGGGTTAAATGTACGACTTAATTCAATCAAGTTGTCTGAGTGATTTATTTCTAATTTATTCTGTATTTAGATTTAATTGAGTTCATTCGGCAAAATCTGCACTCAAAGTCAGCACTTGATGCCTGAAATATTTCACAAATGTCCAGAAGAAATTGGCTGCCTTTTGGGCCAAAGTCCCCCAAATCACTGAATGTCTGAATGGAACCAAACTTGACATTTTCCACAACCATGTAATCAGAGTATAGTTCACATGTTCTTGCGGCTACTCTTTCGCCACAGTTTGTTACAAGAGTGGAGTATTTCGATATTAGTTGCTCGATACTGGTCTTTTCCAAATTCATTATTGATTCTTGTAGTGATTGCAGCCTGACCAAATGCATGGCTCTCCAATATTTTCACTTCTGGAAATCTGCTTTCCAGGCGGTCTCAAAGAAGTTGAACAAATTTTTGTTTCAGAGATACTAGGAACTGCAGATGCTGGAGAATCTGAGATAACAAGGTGTAGAGCTGGATGAACACAGCAGGCCAAGCAGCATCAGAGGAGCAGGAAGGCTGATGTTTCGGGCCTAGACCCTTCTTCAGAAATGGGGGAGGGGAAGGGGGTTCTGAAATAAATAGGGAGAGAGGGGGAGGCGGATAGAAGATGGATAGAGGAGAAGATGGTTAGAGAGGAGACAGACAGGTCAAAGAGGAGGGGACGGAGCCAGTAAAGGTGAGTGTAGGTGGGGAGGTAGGGAGGAGATAGGTCAGTCCAGGGAGGACGGACAGGTCAAGCGGGTGGGATGAGTTTATTAGGTAGGAGATGGGGGTGGGGCTTGAGGTGGGAGGAGGGGATAGGTGGGAGGAAGGACAGGTTAGGGAGGCGGGGACAAGCTGGGCTGGTTTTGGGATGCGGTAGGGGGAGGGGAGATTTTGAAGCTTGTGAAGTCCACATTGATACCATTGGGCTGCAGGGTTCCCAAGCGGAATATGAGTTGCTGTTCCTGCAACCTTCGGGTAGCATGGTTGTGGCACTGCAGGAGGCCCAGGATGGACATGTCATCTGAGGAATGGGAGGGGGAGTTGAAATGGTTTGCAACTAGGAGGTGCAGTTGTTTAGTGCGAACCAAGCGTAGGTGTTCTGCAAAGTGGTCCCCAAGCCTCCGCTTGGTTTCCCCGATGTAGAGGAGGCCACAACAGGAACAGCGGATGCAGTATACCACATTAGCAGATGTGCAGGTGAACATCTGCTTGATGTGGAAAGTCTTCTTGGGGCCTGGGATGGGGATGAGGGGGGAGGTGTAGGGGCAGGTGTAGCACTTCCTGCGGTTGCAGGGAAAAGTGCCGGGTGTGGTGGGCTGGAGGGGAGTGTGGAGCGGACAAGGGAGTCACGGAGAGAGTGGTCCCTCCGGAAAGCAGATAAGGGTGGGGAGGGAAAAATGTCTTTGGTGGTGGGGTCGGATTGCAGATGGCGGAAGTGTCGGAGGATGACGCGTTGGATCCGGAGGTTGGTGGGGTGGTGCGTGAGGACGAGGGCGATTCTGTTTTGGTTGTTATTGCGGGGAGGGGGTGTCAGGGATGAGTTGCGGGAAATGCAAGAGACATGGTTGAGGGTGTTCTCGACCACTGAGGGGGGGAAGTTGCGGTCCTTGAAAACGAGGACATCTGAGATGTACGGGAGTGGAATGCCTCATCCTGGGAGCAGATACGGCGGAGGCAAAGGAATTGGGAATAGGGGATGGCATTTTTGCAGGAAGGTGGGTGGGAAGAAGTGTACTCTAGGTAGCTGTGGGAGTCGGTGGGCTTGAAATGAATATCGGTTTCTAGGTGATTGCTGGAGATGGAGACAGAGAGGTCCAGGACGGAGAGAGAGGTATTAGAGATGGTCCAGGTGAACTTAAGGTTGGGGTGGAAGGTGTTGGTGAAGTGGATGAACTGTTCGAGCTCCTCGTGGGAGCACGAGGCGGTGCCGATGCAGTCATCAATGTAACAGAGAAAGAGGTGGGGTTTAGGCCCAGTGCAGCTATGGAAGAGGGATTGTTCCACGTAACCTACAAAGAGGCAGGCATAGCTTGGGCCCATGTGAGTACCCAAACTTTTGTTATCCTTTATTCATTCATGGGATGAGGCCTTAACTGGCTAGGCAGTATTTATTGCCCATCCCTAATTGCCCAGAGGGCAGTTAAGAGTCAACCACTTTGCTGTGGGTCTGGAGTCACATGTCAGCCAGACCAGGTAAGGATCGCAGTTTCCTTCCCTCAAGGACATTAGTGAAGCAGATGGGGTTTTCCAACAATCGACAATGGATTCACAGTCATTGTCAGACTCTTAATTCCAGATATTTATTGAGTTCAAATTCCACCATCTGCCGTGGCAGGATTCAAACCCAGATCCCCAGAACATTATCTAGGTCTCTGGATTAACAGTCCAGCGGTGATACCACTAGGCCATCATCTCCCCTTGATGTGAATTGAAGGAATGCAGCAGTGCATCACTGTTGAGAACAGGCAACCTTCTTAAACTTCATCATTCCAATAAAAGTGTTAATCTAGAAACTAAGTTTTCACTTTATTAATCTTAGTTTTTGCAAAATGCACAGCTACAATTGGTGTCACTTTCTCGGCAAGAATGTGCATGGTGATGTTTAGTTTAAACACCGTTCAGAGTTGCCACTGCAACATGATATTGTGGCTTTGTGAGCATTTTCAGACAGTGCTTATTGGATCACTGCACTTACTTCTCGTTCTGTGTAATACTTGATCAAGACATTGAAGATTCACATTGACAGCTACCTCACTTCATTCAGA